CTGATTTAGAATAGATATACTTTGTGTTATCTAAAAATATTTAGATATAGCAAGTTGTAAAGAATCGCTGACTTGTTTCGCAAGCTATGACAAACAAAATTATTAAATATTGGGATTCTTTGTGGGTGAGGTATCAGAAGGGGTTAGCAGATATATATCATCTTTACAACAGATCTTGTGCTACCAAAAATATTGAGATGTACCAAGTCTGGTTAAAACGGATGTTAATTTTGCATTTTATGGCCTTCATGGTATTTACAATTTTGACTCTTTGAGGGGGAGGTACCAGAAGAAATGGTTCAATCTCTACCATATTTATAACAGATCTTGTGCTGATAGAACTATTGAATGTACCAAGTATTGATGGATGTAGATGTTAATTTCGCTTCATGGATATTTAATATTTTGACTCTTTGTAGGGGAGATACCAGAAGGAGTGGACCATTATATCCCATCTTCACAGCAGATCTTGAGTTAGTAGAAATAGCCTAATATTGAAATATTATTTCGGATTTATATAATCGTTTTGTTTATTCAAATCATTGTGGGGGAGGTACCAGAAGGAATGGTCTGATATCAACCATCTTTATCAAGACTAACGACATATCAAGACTGAATCGTGATTTTTAAAGAATATTTTTTAAAGTTTAACTAGACATAAATCGTAAATTTAAAAAGAATAATTTTGAAGGTCCAAAATCGTATTTTATAGAAATCTATTAGGGCTGAAATCGTAATAATAGATTTTTTTTAAAAATATATTTCAAGGTCTGTTATTTTTATACCCTACAACACTATGTGTTGGGGGTATTATAAGTTTGATTGGGCCAGAATTTATCTAACACCTCGAAATATTGGTTTCCCATATAGGAAAGTATATATGGATCTTCCTAGCTCGCCGAGCTGAGTCGATCTAGCTATGTATGTCCGTCCGTCCGTCTGTCCGTCTGTCCATGTAATTTGTAATCACTCTACAGGTCGCAATTATGGCCCGATCTTCACGAAATTTAAAATGTAGGTGGGGTTAATGTCAGAATAGAACCCTATTTCCTTTGGAGATGATCGCCAAATGTTTAGGGGTTGAAATGGACAAAATACTGAAAAATGTCGGATTTTGCAGTAGCTATACAGACCGCAATTATAGATCAATCGACGCGGAATTTCGCATGCAGCTAGAGTTTAGGGCGGGGAAGAAGCCTACCAATTTGGGTGGTCATCGGATAATATTTAGCGTCTAAAATAGACCATATCTTTTTTGTTGAAAAAAATCAAATTTTTTCATTAAACCGCGAATATTTTAAATCCCGGCGAAATCACAAAGCCATGACAAGGTTACTTCTGATCTTTACATTGATGTTAAGATCCAACAAATCGAATATATAGCAAAATATGTGCGATATATATGTCTATCAAAGGAGATATGCTTGAAAGATCTCTTATATGTCGAGAACGGCTGAACTGATTTCGACAGTTCTCACTAATTCAGAATGGCCTCTTGGCAGGAAAGAAAAAACGTCTAAAAAAATCGCATAAAAATATCTCTCTAAAGATGAAAATATTGATTTTGTAAAATTTTCTCATATTTTTTCAATTTTTGTCATATTTTTGGCATATTTTCATTTTGAATTAAACATTTGGTAATATTTCTACAGCTAACAAAACTAAGTAGTTAGGATAACAAGATATCATATACAGATCGCATTTATGGCCCGATCCTTACGAAATTTTGCATGGGGATAAAATGAGGGTCAGAATAGAAGCCTACTCTTTTTGGAGATGATCGCCATATATTTAGCGGTTGAAATGGACCAACAAAACTTCAAAATTGTCAGCAGGTCGTAATTATCGCCCGATCCTCACGCACATTTGAATGGGTGTTACCGGTCATTGCAAAAGCCAAGCAGTTTTGGATCGCCATCCAAAAATATTCAATGTGTGAAATAGTTTGCCAACTTTTGTAGACAAAATAAGAAAATGTCCATTCCAGTGACTTTTTGGAGAATTCACAAATACTGGAAAGACGCACTTCTGACTATTTCGTTAACGCCGATTTCGTTGAAGAATTTAGTCAAATGTCTGTATCTCATATAGATGCGTTTCAGTCAAAAACCAATAATAAATGTTAATATTTTGCCACTTCTGAGAGATTATAGGTCTTTGGGAAATATTGGTTTCAGATCTAGGAAGACCATTTACGTGCAACATCTACACATAAATTGGAAATGAGCAAATTAGTTTAAGTTGCTATTATTCGAAAATTAGAGAACGAAACCTGATGGTTTTTTTTATTATTTGTCACAATATCTTGTGGAATTCTTTCGAGTATCTCGCCTATATACACTGTATCGCTTATTGTAGTGTTGTAGGGTATTCAACGGTCGGCCCGCTCGACTGTAGCCTTTGCTTACTTGTTTTTAAATATTTTTGAGGATTTATTTGAAAGTATATCAAGGCTATAATCGTGTTTTTTTCGAATATTTTTGAAAGTTTAATAGCGATGAAATCGGGGAATTTCTCAAGGAGAAAATCTCAAGACCTGGCCGAACGAAAAAAATTAGAAAAAAATATTAGAAAAACTTGTTTGTGTAGCAGGCGTTGGACATACCCAGAGGTAAAAATCTCAAGCCGCAGAAAAAGGCCGACTAATCAAATTTGGAAAGGCTTTGGACCGCGAAGGCAGACGTATCAAATTCAGGAAAACTTTAGTTCGCGTAGCCGGGTTGGACATAGCCATAGGAGAAAATCTAAAACAAAGGATCAAATGTAAAGACCCATGTCGGGCTTGAAGAACCATATCTCTGGATCTAGGAACAGCACATTTTGGAAAGATTAGAATGCTAAAATTTAGTATTTATCTTGTGGACATCCATAATGGGGCCTTTTTCGACTTTTGGGTATTTTTTTTTAAACCGAGTCCATAAAATCGATTATTTTGATACAATTTCCGAACCGAATGTAACTGCTTGTGGGATAAGTATTTTAATTATCTTTCAGATGATTCCTATATTGTATCGGTTCAGTAGGTCCGGGTCTAACCCGGGTCTTGGACTTTTCGGGTCAAATATTCGGGTATTCAAATCCGTCCCCCAAGAAAAAAACACTTCCCCGAAATTAGGGCACAAATACCTACCTCAGGCAAAAAAAATTAAAAAAATCCGAGATTTTTTACTAGACTAGAGTTAAGCCCTATTTATTACTTTTCGTACAAACTTGGTACACATTTCCAAAATCACCTCAATATTCCAATCTCAGATACCATATATAATCTCGGTATTCCAGCTCTATATGGTATTGGGTGAAGATAGCCAATTTAGTACCATTTAGTACTTTTCGAACAATTGTAGTATATACTTCCAAAACCACCTCTACATCTCAATTCCTCATCAATATCAAATTTATTTTATCCAATGCAAAATTTAGTACTTTTGATACAAATATAGAACGTATTTCCAAACCACCGACAAGTCTCAAACACAGATACGATGAGTAATCTCAATTCCAAATTTCAGGATTTTAGCTCTATTCCTTCACCCAATACCGAATATAGTACACTCAGTACTTTTTGTACAATTATAGTACACATTTTCGAAACCACCTTCATATGCCCAGGCTGCACATGCTATATATGAACAGCGACTTTAATGGCAAATTTCCGATTCCAAGCACTATCTGTTCGCCCTATACCAAATTGTACCAAAAATAGTACTATTTAGGACTTTTTGTGCACTTGCGGTACAAATTTCCAAAACCACCTCTTTCATCACAAATCTACCACCAACAAAGACCCCAATACAAAAATTTCCAAATTTCAACTCCATCCGTTCACCTTAAAGCGAACTGTTTCAAATTAAGTACCATTTAGTAAAGTTCGCAGACTTAGTACACATTTCCAAAACCGCCTTCATATATAAACCTTCCAACCTTGATTCTCATACCAAATTTAATGTTTTGAGCTCTATCCGTTCACATAATACCGAATGGCACCATTTTAGAACTTTTCGTCAACCCAAAGTTTGAATTTTCAAAAACCCTTTAGTACATCTATACCGCACGCCATCAGTGACTCTAATCTAAATTTCACGTTAATTCTAAATTCTAGCTCCGTTCCGTTTGTCCAATACAAAGTATAAATTTTTAGCATATTTTAGTACTTTCGTACCCTTTTAGAAGGAATTTCCAAAAATCCAGGCTTATCACACGCCTTCGCACCAAGACTGAACTTCGTGTATAATTTCAAGATTCTAGCTCAATCAGTTATTTCACCCCTCTTTCATATATAGATACATTTTAAAATGAGAAAAAATTAAAATTAAGTTATTGAAAATTTTTAGTATTTTTTCATTCATGATCCCATGCAGATTTTTTACACTATTTTTGCCAATTCATGCCTAGGACACAATTCCCTATAATTTTTTTAATCATACCTAAATCACAAAGAAAATATTAACATATGCATCTACGCGTTGGTATGCCACAAAGAAAACTATTCGGACACTCACTTCACTTCCCCCTCAATGCCACAATGATGTAAACAGTGGATTAACATTATTTTTTGACAGATAAGAGGATCACATCAATGGGAAACGCAAAACAAATATTATTGCAGCAACGACAACAACAACTTGAGCGATCTCAATAATTGTTAAATACAATTGTCGGCACCCATACACATGTATACATATTTACACTTCTGTGGTTGGTAGAGTTAAAAAACGCGAAATGATATATCAAAACAAACAATACAAATAAAAATAAATATGCGCCCCGTGCTAAAAATAGAATATCAAGGAAGAACGAACAAACCAATAACCAACCAACCAACGAACGAACCAAAACCAATGCGCCAACAACTCAAAACGCGATACTAATTAAGAAGAAACAACAACAATGGCAACAAATAACAACAATAAATGAGCACTTAATATAATATATAACAATGGACAATTGAATCTTTTTATTTCCCCATTGAATCTGTGGAATTTATGGAATTTCCGACTCACCTTCGAAGACATTTTGTGTGTTTTTCTGGGGGGAAAATATTAATAATTTTACTGTTACATTTGTCACAAAACTATTAAATAATCCACAGCTCAAAATAGTGTAATTTATTTTGGTTTTGTTTCCATTTTTTTAGTAACTAATATTATTTTAAGAATATTTTTTCGATATTGCACTTCTGTTAATGCACCACACAACGCATTTTGTATTGTTGTTTAGAGTCAACGACCACCAGTTGATTGTTTGGAGGAGGCCCCAATAGTTATTTTAAAACACTTGTAACTATCCGCGCGAGACACAAGAAGCAATCAAGAAATATGAGAAAGAAAAACCTAAAACACCGCAAGGCACCAAACCACCCGACTTGTTGTGAATATTTCAGATACTGAGATACAAAACCACCGATAACCAAATAAACGCAACTGAATTAAATAAATAACAACAATCAGAGAGTTTTGAAATAGTCACTCTCTTTCTCTTAATCAACATCTCTCAGGGTTGCCGTCCCTACAGTTCGCTTAGGGATGTAGAAGTCGACTTTTGACTAATCGATTGATCGATTTCTGGTAACCTTATGCTACTTTGACATTGAGCAGTTTAATGGATTGGGATATGCTTCATATTTCAAAGCGCATTTGTACTTTTGAAGATTAATGCACTGGCATGGTTAAAGAATATAGGTAGATGCATTAACGCTTGGGAACATTGATATGTCAAAATTTTGAAAATGTTTTATCAAAAATAAGTACATATTTAAATGTTGTTTTTTATACGAAGCAAATATGCATTTTTCAACAATTTTTACAAATTTTAATAATTTTTCATTCAACATTTTCAATTTCAAAATCAGTTTGACAGTTCATTGTCCCAGCAGCTGTGTTGATGCTACAGGTAACAGCATCTTCTGTGGGCATGGATAAAAGAGAAAATAATTTAGAGACAAGAGAAATTTATATTTTTTACGATAACAAGGAACAAAATTCATAATTTTGGAATAAAACAATATTTTCCCTCTATTTTGGATTCAATTTGGTGGCGAAACCCCAATATTCCATTCATGTTTTGAGGGTTTCACCAATATATGATATGTTCCAGTATCTTCAAGAATCTGTTTTTACGATTTTCTTTGATATCATAATGGGAAAATCGGTTATCGTAGTAGAAACTTCTACATTCTCGCAGTTGTGGAACAGAACGTCCCGAAATTCACTCTATTTAGGCTGATACTAGCTATTATTTGCACAATAAACCTAAAATCGGTTTAAGGATATATATGAGACCTATATCCAAATCTTAGCCGATCTCGATATAATTTGGCAAAGGTATTTCCGAGCTCTATAAGATATCTGGTACCAAATATCATTGTTGTGAAGTGAATATTACGAATGTGAGGGACTTAGAAACCAAATCGGATGAAACATATATATGGGAGCATTAGCTATATCTGAACGGATTTTAACATTTGGATGTGCCAAAATTCATATCTTTTGGGCTGTGATTTACTTTGTAAAATTTCACTCCATAGAAAATAACATGGTAAAATGATTGAATGATAAAGTCATTTCAAAAAATAATATCCATCTCTGCATTTTCGGTAATTTACTTTTGTCAAATTTCAATTTCCATGTTTAAAAAGGAACAAGGCTCGTAAAACTTATTTACAATACGTTGTTTCCACTGACGAACTTAGGAATCATTGCTCTTTATGTGCTCGACTCGCACTACATTTGAACTTTAACCATGAGTTAAGAGAATAATACATTAGCATACAAAATCTAAATAAATAACTTTTTTTTCATTCAAAAATTTCAATTTCAAAATTGGTTTGACAGGTCATTGTTCCAGCAGCTGTGTTGATGCGCCTACCTGTATCATTTTACCATGGTTGCATACAAAAATACTTGCCTTTTTCACTAAATTATGGTCCGTTGTACAGTCAAATGAACAAAATACTCAATGTCCGTATTCCTTCTTGCAGCCATAACGAGAATACACCGTACGTAATGTGTACGTTGGCATTACGTTCAATTAACTAGTCGAACAATACTTGTTGAATTCGTTGTCATTACGTAGGGTTGCCAAGTCGCATATTTCCTACTTGTTTACCTTCACCCGAATAAAGGAAATTATTGCAATATTGAATTAAAGTTATGATAAAAAACAAAAAGACACAATAAAATCGTGTGATATACAAGCAAAATAATTAAAAAAACAAACGCAACAAAGTACTACGGACAAAGTTATTTAAAATAATTATATCTACAAATTGAACATTTTACAGCGAAGTGGCAATCATGATGCAATAATACAAAACACAAATAACATCCAAGAACAATAACACAACGGACGGGGAGCTTACTCTGGGATTATTCACCAAAAAATATTTATAATAACTAGTATATATCCGTGATATTATATAAATATACAAATTTTACAAAATGCCTGTGGATGGTAGAGAACTAATTGAGGCTATTTCAATATTGGCCGATGAACATAATGTGCGTGTTACAGTTAAACAATCTGGAAAGGGAGCCATAATTTGCGCAGCTTGCTGCTTTGCTGGTGGAGTTCTATTGGGACCAGCAGGCCTAGCGATAGGTGGAGCTGCTGGTGGTATTACGGCCTATAAAATGACCAAAGGTAAATGTGTTGCCATGATCTAAATGTGAAACTCCATTAAAGAAAAGTTGGTAGATGGACTTTGGATTACGTGGCGATTGCAAAGATTGATAAAAAATGACTAATTTATTTTATAATTTGATTATGAACAATAATTATGCTATTGTTCTTTTGCAGGCACATTCCGTCCTTTGGGTGATGTGATAATTAACGATCTGAATGACACACAAAAGGAACAATTGGTACAACATGTGACGAATGCCGTCAAAGATATTCATCCCACCGATTTGGCCTTGCTGCTGCCACTGATAATGAATAATCAATCTATTCAAACTGCCGTCTTAAAGACAGTTGTTAGTTTTGTATCGAGTGAATTACGTTTGCAAATCATTGACTGATCCGATGCTATATAAGAGATAGAAGAGGGGCGGTCAGTAATTGTTAATGTAGTATATATCTCGTTTATCGTTTTATACCTCCTTTTTTTGTTTTTCTAATAATAAGTAACTTATAAATTGTGAAATTGCCTTTGTTTTCCTTTGGCGAGAGAGGAGTAGACACTATTAACATTATTCTAGAAGATTTTGTAACACAAAGATTTTATCATATAAATTTGGCAAGTTCGGTGACTCATGCAACCGGTTTTGAAAATTGCTTCGAGTGATAAATTTATATCATTTACATATCAAGATAAATTTGAGGCTAATGTTTAACTCAAATTACCAATAAAATGCGATATTTTTGTATGTCAAATGATCAACATTGAGATTTAATAGTAAATTAATTGTGTTGAAGAAATATTGATCCTTGGGGTTTGAAATACTTAATTAACCCTTTCAACAATGACGACAGTTTCATGTAAATCCCCGAACACCAATATTAGATTCAAATTACAGCTTCGGTAAAAAATGTAATGTTTCGTATTATATATGCATGTATATTTATTACAATTTCAAAATAATTTAATAATTTATTTTTTTAGAAATTGAAAACTTAATAATGAAATCTAGTTTAAAACTAAAAGTTACACAGAATAATACACCGTTCTGATATATTTAAAAAATAACTACGAGTACAAGAAATAATATAATTAAACTTAAACTAAACAATATTTAAACTAAATTAATAACGATATAGTAGTTTTTTACGGCCAAGGAATTTTTGTGTGTGCTAAACAAAAGTTTGATTTAAAATAGGCTTTTTCTTTTGATGATTTACTTTCCTTTCATTCACAAAAGGACATATAAAAATGTATCATATTTTATTTAGCATATCGAATAATTTCTTTCTGCAATTCAAGTCAAAGTTCTTAAACTGAATTTATTCCCAATCGACATTAACTTGATCCCAGTCTTCAACAAATGGCTGATCAATTGTTTCAATCATTAGACCACAATAGACACAATCGGCGGCAAGGATTTCCTCAATTTCCTGCTTAACTTTTTCCCTTTTATATTTCGATTCATTGGATTTATCCGCCATGGCAACAGATTGCGTTAACATATTTTCCAATTGTTGTTTTAACATTGTTAACCGACGCGCTTGATCGGAGGTCAAATGTGGTATGACTAATTTCTCCAAACAATCAGCATGGAATTTATGACCACAAGAAAATATGAAAAATGGTTTCACAAGCAGGAATGTATCACAACCGTTGCATTGTTCGTGGGCCTCAATGCGTATGCAATTCTCTCGGATATTTTGTAAATCACTTTGTACCCGTTCAGCTTGTTTGCTAACATCTTCCATGTCGTGCTGGAGTTCTTGAAGTTTGTGGTTATATTCCTAAGGAAACATTTCATTAGGATGAAAGACGGAAAAATTAATAAAAATTCATTTTTGGATACCTTTAAGGCCTGACAAATGGGTTCTTTGAAATCATCAATTTTTTCAAAATCCGAAAAGAATGGCAGCAAATCTTCTATGTGCAGTAATTCACACTCCTTCAGCAGATCCAAGGCCTTCTTGACATCGTTGGTGTCTTTTATTTCGTGATAGGCTGGAAAAGAAACAAAAGGTTATAATATTAAAAGAGTTCAAACGAGTAACTCTTCCATATTTACTCTTACCAATCTTGAGCCACAACATTGTTTTGACTTTCTCATCTTTCGGCTTCGAAGCTGTCTCCTTGGCCAATTTAATATCGAATGTAAGAGCCAAATCTACAGCTGCTGGCCAAAGTTTACGCAAGGAATATAGAAATACACATGCCACTTGAATATTGAAATCCATGCACACCAGCAGGGCATAGTTGACATCATAATGTACTAAGGTGATATCTTGACCCTCGTTTTCCAAATATTTCATTACTTTGGCCGGTTGATGTTCAGCATATAAACGTATTAGGAAATTATGTATTGCCTGATAGGTTTCACCCAAATTGTAAATACAATATTCCAAATATTTGATAATTTCCGAAATATGTAAGGGCGAATCAATGGTGGTAATGGTAGGAATTAGTTTTTGAACATTCAGTTTTCGGCCCTGCAACATCATTAGTTCAATCGTCTCCTTGGGTAAATATTCGATAAGAGTAGGACAGTATTTGTAATATAATTCAATATTCTTTTGTTTCTGTAGTATATGTAATGCTTCGAGATATTTTTCAGCTCCAATATGCTGCTGCAGTACCTCATCATAATCTTCATTGGCAATGGCGAACTGAGCCAGATTGTGATCATCTGCATGTTGTGTTATTAAATCTTGTATGGCTGTACGATTTGCTCGATAACATTTGATAACAGAGAAATTCAGCATAAACTCATCGTATTCCATTTGCCATTGTTTTTTCTCCTCTGGCGTGCGTCCAGGATAATTGATTTCCGTTAAATAGAGATCTATGAGCCAAGCCACCAATACAAAGAGTTGTTCATCAGCCTCCGGAGGCATCGTCTCCATGCGCTTTTTCACATACGTTATTATGGGACGCTTTTCTTTTAAATCAATAAATTTCAAACAAACTTCTTCGAAAGGCATTTGCGTTTCGGCATATATCTTGGCGGCCTCTATATATTTCTTTTGATCAAATGCTGCATGGGCTTTGGTTAGTAAAACCGCATTGAGATGCTCTCCATTTCCGGCAGCATGAATTTCAGCCATTTCATATGAACCCATATTCAAATAAATTTTCCAAATGTTGCGTTGCTCTTCGCTAACCTTGAAATTGAAAACCATTTTTTCGGTGTAAACATAAATATTTCCCGTAAAAGGATCTTGGAAAATATTTAAAAGTTTTCCCATTTGTTCATGGAAATACTCCTCATAAACCACCGACTGATCCAAAAGACAAATTCCAGTAATGTGATCGTGATACATAAGCAGAACATGGTATTCGGTGAGTACAAATGCTCGGGGGACATTTAAGCGTTTCTCTTCATACGACAAATGTCGGCGTTGTTCCAAATCCTTGTCAAGCGGAACCAAATTTTCGCCAAGTAGAAATTTCTCATCTTTAATGGAGCTTTGAACAACCTAGAATAAAAAGAGATTAGTTACTGAAAAAATTAGTATTTGAAAAAATTCTTCACTAACTTCTCCATGCCTTAAGCCAGAACCACACAGCCAGCCCCATTGCGCTGGATACTTTTCATTGGGTTGAGCATAGAATTGTAATACGGAATACTTCATATCGGTTTTTGCCACTTCATAACCATGTGACTGAGTGCCGCCCAAATAGGCATTGAAGATAGGCTGTAGTGTTCGCTCCTCCATTCGTAAATGACCTTGGAAAGTAAAAATGCAATCAGTTGCTGTGGCCACAACAATGTATTGACCCGCTGTATGGGGCACATGACGAAACTCTAAACCGGTTATGGCGTATTTTGGTCGACCCAAACCCAAATCATAGACCTGGCAAAAAAGAGAAATACATTTTAATATAAACATTTCAATTCTAAGGAATTAAAGATTAGAAAGCATATAAAGGACTTTGGAGGTTTTGAAAAAAGAAGGAACTTCCAATTATCTGTCCATGTTTTTGTTAGAGGATTGCGTTTCATTTAAGCAGATGCAACACTCCAATAATGAATTATTGTAATAGAATTATAAACTTCATTTAGAATAATAGATTTCCAAATATCTTACCTGCTTTCGATAAAGTGGCTTATCAGCTTCCAGTGTTAATTCTGTTTCAAATATCAAGCCCTTGCTGGTGCCCAGTAAAATTGGTCCTGTAGTAGACTCTGTACCCAATTCATAATTAAATGCCACCGAAGTAATTTCATGATCCTTAAATTTCTCGATGCGACGAACTTTATTACCACTGCCATGTACATAAAGGAAATCAGCCGATAAACCGGGTGATTTGGGTATTAAACTGATAAGTATATGATGACCGGTATAGTCCAGGAATAGTTTACCAATTTTATAGCCAGCCAAATACTTTTCCAATGATATTTCTAAAAGAGAAACATATCAAAGCATTAATAAAGGAATATTTTTCACTAAGTTACATTACCCAATGGTGGCAAAGTTCTGAGTAGGAAAAAACGAAATAGTGTCACTTGTGATGACGGCTGCGGTGCTGCCATTAGACAGACCAGCCAATTTTTGCACACCGTCAAATGCAGTAAATCCCCACTATAATCCTTGGGTAGACGTAGTGTCATTTTTCGTTTACTGAAAATGGGCGTATCATCGCCTTTATCTCCTCCGCCAGCAATTGCAGTCACCGTTGTGGGCATCGATGATACACTTGCACTGTCGCCTCCAATGGAAGCTAGGAATTTCGGCTTGGCCAATAACATTCTATCCGCTATGTCCAGATCATCATCGTTGGAGGCCATATTTAATATGGGATTTAATTAATTTGGGAAACTGATAGTAATTTTTTTAATTTTTTCTACGCTACAAACAAGTCTCTTCCTCTTCGGTGTTGGTGGTGTGTGTATGTGTGTAGATGTCACAATTTCTTTGTGTTTTGACACAACAGCTGATTGAAGAATCTAGTGCTGAGTGTTTTAAAGTATTCGGTTATTTAGTCGGATCGTTTAAGGCAAACATTTATTGTTGAGATCCAGTACTTTTTTAATGGTAATAAAAAATAATATTAGAAATAATTGTGGGAAATACTGTGTGAAAAGATTTTCAATATGAAAAAAAACGAAAAGGAAAACTAGATGACAATCCCCCAAAAATACACATTTTAGCTAAATGTAATAAAATTTGAATACTTCCTATTGGACAAATGAGCTAGAATGAAATTTGGATAAAGTGCATAATAGATGTACCAAAGGGTTTTCAATAATTTGAAGTTTAAGGTTACGATAGAAATAAAGGTTGGAAAGTAAACTAATTGGTACTAAATTTGGAACAGTTTGGTTTGCAGCTGAAATTTTGAAATTTTGTATGGGCATATGGAGGTGGTTTCGCATATGCTTCTTATATTTGAACGAAAATTACTAAATGGTTCTTATTGGGTATTTGGTGAAAAATATAGATAAAATTTAGAAATTTGATATTGAGATTACTAATGGTATCAGAAATTGTAAAAATGTGCGCTGGTTTGGAAATGAGTTCCACATTTGTACGAAAATTACTAAATTGAACTAAATTTGTAATGGGTAAAGGGATATGGCTGAAATGCTCAAATTTGATATATATGTCACAGTTAGTGTCTGTGGTAAAATGTTTGAGTACTATAACTGTTTGAAAAGATCTAAGTGGTACCAAATTGGATATTTGGTCAAGCGATTGAGCTGGAATCCCGAAATTTGATATTTCGATCTCTGTTGGTATTGGGTGAATGAATAGAGCTGAAATCCTGATATTTGATGGATGTCACAGATGGTGTCTGTCTTTGAGGGAAATTTTGCTAAATGATACTAAATTCGGTAATGTACGATGTATAAAGTTTTGATTGGAAATGTTTCATATAAAAGTATCTGAATTCAAGCGTGTTTCACTTTAAACTTTTGCATAATGCAGTTAAACTTATCAAAGAGAGTTACGATATATTGGTGCTATACCGAAAAGTGGATCTATAAATACAATGCTTCGCCATACGAGCTAGAACCCATTATGACCCACAAATACCAATTTTTAGACAAATTCGTGGGAAAATGTGACAAAAATCATAAAAATACCGAATATCGGGAGGTACCGTTATATGGAGCTATACAAAAACATGGACCTATACATACAATACTTTAACACCAGAGCTATAACCCATTATGACCCACAAATTCCAACTTTTAGAATAATCCGTTAAAATGGGGGCTTTACCAAAACGTGGGCCTATACATAAAATGTTTCGCCACTGGAGCTAGAACCCATCATTGCTAACAAATTCTAATTTTTACACAAATCCGTGAAAAAATGTGGCAAAAATCATCAGAACACCGAATATCGGGAGGTACCGTTATATGAGGTCTACGATGAATATTTAGGAATGTTACAAACGGAATGACAAAGTTAATATACCCTACTTTCCAAGGTGGAGGGCATAAAAAGGCCTTACATGAACTGTTGGAACGAATCTAAAATTTTAAGGTGGACTTTTCGTTAATGTTAATAGAACTAGTTCAACTATTAATCAGCATATGTTTATTTGACAATAAAAATTAATGGTGGAAGATTCGCATATTGTGCTATTGGAAATAATTTATATTTTTGTTATTAGTTGATTATCATATTAAATATGTAATACAGCATTTTTTTTGGAGAATTTAACAATTTTCTTTTTTTTACAACGTATTTTCGAACAAAAAAATTGTACAATATATTAATGTGTGAACGTCTTACAAACATGGTTTTTTGCTGAAAATGCACGTTCCGCTAGACTTTCTTTAAATATATAAAAAATAAATAAAATACAACGCCATTACATTCTTTAGACAGATTAAACATATTATGCGACTAAATATTTCTCTACAATATAAAAAAATGGTTTTCGATAAACTAATTAAAAAAAAAAATAAATTGGTCAGAAAAGAAAATCTATGTCAACCATTAAAATTTTTATAGGTCTTTTTAATAAAACGCACATTCCAGAAATAAACATCGTGTTGGAGTCAGTTTAATATAGGGTAAAACGGAGTTTTCAAAAGCTATAAGAATGGGCCTTCAAAATTAAAATCGGTCGTTGCCGCTGTATGACAAGATTCAGACCTATATTGAAACATTTTCATGGGCACAGCTTTTATTCAATGACATTTTTCATTGAATGTTGTATTAGGTCAGTCCCAGAAACAGCTTTGCCAACAAATGTTATGTAGCGTACAGGTGTAAACCACATGCCTTCAAAGTTGATAAAAAGTTGCAACGAAAATGAATGCAAAAATTATTTATCGAGCAATTCAGTTAGCAATTAACAGGCATTGCAACAAGTATACGGACTAATTGAGCTCCACAAAAAATCAATAATACCTACAATAATAACAAACATTGCATTTATTTAGAAAAAGTTCGCAACTAACTCGAAACCCTATGCCACTAAAAATTGCAGTGAGAATTGTTGTCATTATAACTGCAACAATTGAACTCTTTTTTTTTTTGCTTTGAATGACATATGTAAACAAATCAGGAAAATAAATAGTGGGAAATAATTTCTAAGAAAAAAAAAAAGAGATAAAAAAGCTTCAACACACCGGTAATTGATGAGTTGACATACACGTGAGAGAAGGGTCGAGAGTGCAATTCATTCATGCCTTTAAACTACTTCACCTACCTCCCCCACTCAAGAACTTGTAACAGTTAGAAAGTGCTGCTAACATTGTTGGTGCTTTTAACTTTCTCTGGATATATACGTATGTATGTGTGTGTGAGCAAGAGAATCGTTATTTAACATTGCGTTGTTGTTGTCATTTCGCTGTTGCGGCCGTTAATACTCTACTATCCCTTCCTTTTATCATTGTTGTTGGTGCCGTGTATTGAGGGTTTCGGGATTACACAGAAATATTTTGGTTATAAATACGTTGAGCAAGGCTCTCCGACTTTCATTCTCTTGCAGTGGTTAAAGTGACATGATAGTGAGTAGATTGCTGTACTGTAGCAAGTCATGTATCAGCATGTCCTTCCAAACACAACAAATATTTCTAGCAATGGTAAGCTAACAAAAAAAATATTTAGAGAAAATAAACTAAATAAATAATATTAATTATACCAAAGAAAGTGAAATAAAAAAAATAATTGTTAAACAAGAAAAATATTAAAATATTCTGCAATAAAAAATATTCTTCAGACCACATGGAAGAAAAATGCCTTAACAAAAAATATGGGTGCGGATTAACAGATACACTTTTTCATTTCACAGTGCATGAAAATTTTGTGTGTGGCTTTGGTAAAAAAATTAAATAAAATAAAATGAATGAAAAATGAAATAAGTTTAATATTAACAACAAAAATAATTGAATATTTTTTTGTTGGGTCATGTGAAAATAAGCAAATGTTGAAATCAAATGTGTACAAGAAACTGCATGCCAAGTCTGTTAACTTTGTTTTAAATTCAATAACATCGGCCAAGTAACATTACAAATGGTAACAAGTGTTTAAAAAGTCAATTTTTTTCACAACATTTTGAGTCATACCCAAATAAGTATGAATAAATAACATACTATCTCTAGTTCAGTTTGAAGTCTGAATATAGTCATATGTGCCAATGAAATGACTCTGTGTCTTACTACACGAAATGGAATAAATACCTACATAAAAGCCGTAGGAATCGAGCCAAATATCTACGTGAGAATATTCTTAGTTTTTTATTAAATAAATTTTAAAGGCAGTGTGTTTTTTCAATGTTTTGTGTTCACAAAAACCGGGTAGTTGGTTCTTAGAAGCGTTGATATTAACTTGAATGCCTTATACGGCTATATACCTTATAAGGTATATAGTTTATATGCCAAAGTTTAATATATTTTTTGAGGATCTTCATATAATCACTTTCTGTGCCGATTTATGCATATCCGTCCATGTATATTTATTTTTTTTTGAACAAAATGCAAGTTGCATTTCTTACCCGATTGAGATAAAAATTTTAAAATAACTGTTTGGCCCTAGGACGAACCCTATTGAAATTGGTGAGAATCGGTTCAAATTTAGATAGAGCTCCCATATACAGAGATAACAAACACTGCAATAAATTAAACCGCCATAATTTTTAAATTTTTTTTAAAATATTATTGAATGAAAGCAAAAATTGTCGGAAATAGCATCAAATTTTAGAAAAACTTTAGGTTTGTTCGAATTGGCCACCTTTGGCACGAATTATGGCCTTCAAACTGAAACTGTCACACGCTGCTCGAATGTTGCTCTGCGGTATTTTGGCCCATTCCCGGCGAAGGGCTTGTTTGAGGTGATCGACACTTTTGTATATTTTAGTGCCAACCTTGCTTTCCAAAATACTCCAGACACAATAGTCTAACGGATTGGTATCTGGAGATTTTGGTGGCCATTGTGCGCTGGAACTGAAGCGAGGAACCTCATTTTGTAACCATTCTTGGGTGGCGCGTGCTGTGTGCGATGGTGCTGAGTCCTGTTGGAATGTCTAGGCTTTAATTAACCCTTCAGAATATTTTCGCGATAATATTTGGCATTTATTATGATGCCACGGTCGATTAATAATAATCGGCTGTTACGCCGGCCCACACTATCCCCATGGCCGGCGCTTGAGTTCTAGTGGCTTAGGCGGATGACAGAAGCAGGCGGGCTTAGAAATGACAGCAGTATAAAGTAGGTTGCAGTTTTTCATCTCACTCTGTATATATATTTATCTAATATCAGGTTTATTGTGCGCCAAATGACTAATACCAGCCCAAATGGACTGAATTTTGGCAATTCATCCTGGAAACGAGTACTTCAAATTTGGTGAAAATCGGTTCAGATATAGCTATAGCTCCCATATTCATATATGTTTTATCCGATTTGGGGTTTTAAGTCCCTCACATGCATAATAGGCACTCCACAGCAATGT